TTCTGTTGGGTAATCTATGGTAGGGCTAACCCATACAGTGGTGGGGCTCAAGTCAGTATTTGCAATGTAATTACATACACGCTATATCGCCCCCCTTGACAGTGAAACGCCACGCGTGAGGTTTAGATTATTTCCCTGTCTCAATCAGAATGGAACTGTATGAAATAAAACGGCACATTTGTCTTGTAGTAAATAAAAAGGGATCACTGTGAACGTGACGTATGATAGCACACGTTGAAGATCCAATGGGGATACTGAATGGCGGTTCCGATTGATCTTAATCAGTAATGCATGACGCAGACCCAACGTTTCGTTGCTCTGATTGGCTGTAAGTCTATTCAAATTGCATTCGGAGGCATTTTGATCTGACCGCGGCCGCGATGATATTATAACGCCAGAGAATTTCCACACCTTTAGTGTATAAGACTCCCCCACTACTTAGACTCTTCCTTGCACCCCTCTTCTAGCATAAGCCCGAATGGTCTGAACCACATTGCATCAGTAACGTGCACTTGTTGTTACAGCAGGATCAGTTTGTTTGTTGTGGACACGACCCGTATATTTTCGCAAGCCGTGTTCTCAACATTTTGCTTATTATTTAATTGAATTTGCTACTTTAACATAATTTTTCATGGTGGGGCTTAGGTGGGGCTAATTTCTTGGTATGGCTGTAGCCTACCCCAGCCATACCCTGGCGCCGCCACTGGTTATTGGCTAAGGGAAAGGACATTTCTAAGCTGTTGACCAATCACAACAAAGGCAGTATGAGAAAAATAAAGACCTTTTTGAACATTCAAGCATGGAAACAAAGGCACAAATGAACCCTAATATGGCCCCCTTTTAATGTTTTAATGAGAAGCCCCTAGTGGCAGAGAATGAATGAAATGCGTCCACTGAGGTAATATGTCTTGCCCTTTTACCCCTCCTTCCAAGACATGAATGACAGTAATCATTGTGTCTCTATGCATTTAGCTGGAGATGTCTCTATCAGACCAGGAGAGGCGGCTGCTGGAGAAGCAGCTCCTGGTGGACCAGGTGACCCGGCTCTCCCAGCCTCTCAGCGAGCGGGCTGAGAACTGCCAGCAGGACCAACTCTCACTGGCAAAGAAGGTAGACAAAAAAAAACCTCCAGCACACGGACAGAGACGGGGCTTAGCCAGAGTACACACACGGATAGAACAAAACACACAGAAGAACACACTCCCACACTCGGATTAACACACACAAGACACTTGTTATATCATTCACCGACTAACTCAGTCCACTCCTTCACACCCGCTCGTTGTTTTCGGAGCATGTGCGCTCCATGTGAGGAGCACAGTGGGCATCAAAGAGTTCACCGAGCATTACACTTCATTTCCTCCCTCTTCCTCTCGTCTGTATTTCACTGTGCTGCGACGACTATAAATAGTCAGTTGAACAGGGTTCATTGCATGTATTAAATAGTGGAAACATGTAATGATGACACTAATGAAGATACATCCGATGCCGTAATTAAATCTACCTCATCATCATTTAGCATTAGCATAGATCTAAATCAAATCATATTGAATCATTAGCTCCTCAGCTTCTGTCTGCAAACTGTTCTCACTCGGAAATCGCCAAATGCTGAGGCACAGTAATCTACAGGTGGACTCATTTCACGAGTGAACAATATCCTTTTCCATATGAAGAAAAGCATATATAACCAAATACCTTGATATTGTGACAATATTGTAGATAGATTTTTGATTATAATCATTAGTCATGTGGATAAGTACATGCAAATAATAGAACCACGGCTATAATATTCCATGCCTCACATACTTATGTATATATAATAACTTGCTTTATATTTGTTACTGTACATTTTGTAATTCAACATGTATATTTTCTACTTTGTTGTTTATTTCTAGTCTTTACATTTGTATTGTACAATGCCACGTCTTTTTATGCTTCTGCAAGACAAAAATGTCCCAAATTTGGATCAATTTTGGGATAGTTACTTCTTAACTTCTTATCTTAGCTACGACAGTGTGGTATGTTCTGAAAATGTCACCACTTTACCGTAATACAGCCTTTAAAACCATGACAACATTACCATATCCAAAATCTTAGACAACATCGGGTCTGTTGTCACGGTATCAACCAGTTATTGATATATTTCCTGCCCTACTGTGAGTTCTGATGTTGAATTTGTGTGTGTGTGTGTGTGTGTGTGTGTGTGTGTGTGTGTGTGTGTGTGTGTGTGTGTGTGTGTGTGTGTGTGTGTGTGTGTGTGTGTGTGTGTGTGTGTGTTTCTGCCTCTAGTTGAATGAGCTCCGAACTCAAGTCATCGACTCGAACCAGCGCATGATGGCCGTCTCCGCAGAGCTCTCCATGAAGCACGCCACCGCTCTGTCTCTACAGCAGGAGATTAAAGAGAAGGAGTTCCAGGTCAGAGGGGGGTCTCCATCACCCCCTGCACCCACAATCATCTGATGCACATTTTCCCCCTCTGCAACCCCACTGTCTTTCCTTTTATTATTCCCATGACTCTCCACTAACTGCGGTCGAAAAAGAGCAAAAATAATGATTTTTTTTTTTTTTTGCTGTGTCCCGTCTTTCAGCAAAATACCAGTCAACGATCATTTTCATAAATAAAATCAATGAGAGTAAACAACACTATGCAACACTGTGGATCCGGGCTAACACAGTTAATGAAAGCACAGAGGACACAGGATTAATATAATATAATATTTACACTTGGAATAATGTTTTTTAAACAGGTTTTATCTGCAGAATTGATGTTGTTTGACCCAAATAATCCCACCACAGGGTTTACTCTGCAGGACCCAAATCACTACAAGGCGCATCACTACAGGCGATCAAAACATATTAATATCATTATTTATTAAAGACAATACCACACAATACATAAAACAAAAACAAAAAAACATCAGCACAACATTGTCAGTATGAAAACAACTCTAAGACAAATGTCAAACGTTTTTATTTGAATTTTTACAAAATTAGCAGTCTTTTTTTATACCTCTAAAATAAATATTATGGACTACACTTTCCACCATTTCATCAGTATATATATATATAATATAATATATATAATGTCCGTCTTTTCACTGAATTGTCGTCTTGAAAAGGGTACTCACAACAATTCCGCAACAACATCATCT